CCGCGGGCTGGATCCTGCAGGGCAGTAAATCCCGCAAAGTGGATCCCCGAACGCGCCTCGCAAGCCCGAGTCAGTGCAGTACTCCAGCCCCTGACCTCTGGAGAATTGCAGAGCTTCAAGAAATCATTCTCCACACCAACTGTAAAAGCAAAAGATGATTCCCCCCCTCCGCGGCGAGGTCACAAGGCTTTATTTTCCCCTCCTCTGTCTTCACTTGATTTTCCCACCTTTTTCTTGTCTATCCTTTCTTGGGCCTTTGTAAATCTTGAAGTTCTGGGTAAGGCTATACTGTCCCAACTCTGTGTGCCCGCGGTTTATTAAACAAAAAAATGCTTGTGCCTATTCGTAAAACACCGTATTTTATAGTGCTTTTGCCAAAATTATGACACTATCTCGTGTAGTTCTTTCTGTAGGCTTGAGTCAAGAACTTTCAGTCATCTTGATAATACCAGATTGGATGCCTAAAGCTTCGAAAAAAAGGAAAAAGCAGAACTTTCGGGTAAAATTTAAAAGTTGATTATACTGTACCTAGCCAGCCGACAAGAGTGCAAATCTTACTTTCTCTACCTAATTTCTTTGTAATTCCTTAGTATTCGTAATCCAGCAAAGATAATCAAGCACCCATTTGTTCTGAGGTTAATCACTGTAGCAGTAACCTTTTGTGGTTTAGTATCGATGGTTTTAGTCCCTTGGAGAGGTGTTTCCAGATTCTCCCCAAATGAAAGTAGCCTTCTCCGAGAGCTTATCTAGCACTTTTTGTATCTCTTTTTATATGCGGCCTCTGCTAATGTTTTTATCTCCACTAGTACATCCATGCCTACATAGAATGGTCTGTATCCCATTCACCTGCCTTTGAGTTCACTCTGTACAGGATAGTACCTTGGTAAATATTTCATTGAAAGATTGAATATACAGGGTGTTTCCTGGACGCCTGAGACACCGCCAGCCAATTTGGATGGATCTTCAGTTTATCAGAAATTTAGTATAATCCCGCTGCTCAACTTTTTCTTAGATTTCCCCTCTGAATTCTTTCCACACGATTTCTCCCCAAATATTTTATTATTAAAATCTCATACATTAAAAAGCTAAAAGAATACAACATTCTTATACCTAACCTTATATCCCGCAGTTATTAAAACACTGTGCGACATTAATATCATCCCTCCTTACATACTATTTTATTGTCACTGAACCATTTGGATATAGGTTATAGACAGTGTTAGTCGACGCCTCTAAGACTTCTACCATGAATTTCCTAAGAATTTTGAAGCAGTTCTGCAAAACACAATAGCTTTGAAAAAAGTGCCCCCCCGTTTTATTTTGTTTTTAATTAACTAGATGTTAGTGTAGAAACTTTATTTTTTGAGGAATACTTAATAGTATTTCTCCAGTTGTGATTAAGCCTCAAATGCAGCTTGTATCCTTGCCATGATTTGCTCATTAAATCCATCCCACTTAGCACACGGAGTTCAGCATTTACTCCTGTGAGTGGATGAGTGGAATATATATGTTCGTGTCCTGAGCTGGCGACACAAACTGCCTACCTTTAATAAAGTGTTGCTGCTACTTTGCCTGTAGTTGCAGCTGATGCAATGTAGTCTGTAGCAAAGTGCACTGATGTCAGCCTAGTTTCAGGAGTTTCAACTCCTGGCACCCTGCAGTTTGTTGAAAGATGTGTGGGCCCTGCAATTCAAATACAGAAGACTCTTGTTTTTAAAGCATGTACCTAGGCAACTGTTAGCCATCTGGCCACAATCGAACGTAATTTTTTTTCTCCCTAAAATTCTCTTGCAAGTTCTAATTGGCCCTGGTGTTTCTGTGATAGTTCTTTGGTAGCATTAAACAGGGCCTATTAAAAATTGCAAAATCAAGATTATACTTAGCATTTCAGTCATAAGGAACAGTCTCTAACCAATGGATAGGGAAGTGTTTGTGGCATTTATTTCATGATCACAAGAGGAAAACTCCCAACACTGCTAAGCTCATGTACTTTTCCTGCCATACACATATTTTATCATGAAAGGTAAATGAAAGAAAATGCACTTCAGAAGAAAATGGTCTTGGAGTGCAAAACTGATTAAAGATTTTTCCTGACTCCTAGGGGTCTTTAGAAAAATTCTATTTTTCATAATAAACCAACAGATTTTGATGTTTCTAGCATCATATGGAAAGGTACATAATGTACTCTATCAGTTGCTTTCTTTGGGTAAAAGGAAATTTGCTTGCTCATGCGGGACTGTGGAACAACTTAGATTTGCTTTTCAATTTTTGGTACTGGGTATCAAACTTAAGACCTTGTGCTTGCAAGGCAGGTGCTGTGCCACTGAGCTAAATCGCTGGCCCTCGTTTTGCTTTTTGAGATGGGGTCACTATTCTGCTCAGGCTGCTTTTGAACTCCTCTGAGTTTAATCAGTTCTCCTATATTAACCTCCCAGGTCTGGGATGACATGCACCACTGTACCTGCCTATAGGAAACAATTTTAAATTCACTTCAGATTTAAGAAAGGCAAAATAACATACCAATTAAGACAAGTTTAAAGATGACACAAAAATAGGGCAACTATTGTACTATTAGACAAGAAAGGAAGAGCAGGGAGTAAGAGAAACAGGGTATGAGTATCAAAAGATACTGAAACTTAATGTTTTTTGAAGTTAGTAGGCAAAAAAAAAGTTGCAAAAACAAAACTCTAGGTTTTAGAATCATGCCTGAATTTCACAAACAGGACCTTTACTAGCAGAGTGACCTTGGACAATACTCCTTCTACTGAGTGTAGCCTTAAAACCTCCTAAGATTATCAAAGAGATGTTTATAGCACATTGAATGTCATCAAACTACGTTTTTATCATTAATAACTTCTGAAGCAGTCCAATTTAGGCACATGGTAGGCATTAAATAGTGAATGAGTGAATCTAAAACAGTTCTCGAGATTTTAATGTGGGGAATTTAAAGATTCTGATTCAGATATTTAGAGGGCTTTCGGAACATCTTAATAGCCCAACAATTTCTGATGCAGGACCAGGCTTTGAAAGGCGTGTGTAAAATATCCAACAATTATCTTTCCTTGTGTACCTTGGAAATAGCTAAATATCCCAAGTGTAAAGCAAATACTTTTTCTAAAAGCTAATAAACAGTATTATTAAGATCACTGTTGGGCTGGGGATGTAGCTCAGTGGTTCCACCACCTGCCTTGGAAGCACAAGGACCCGAGTTCCATCCCCAGTACCAAAAAAAAAAAATCACTGTCCAGTATGAAATTTTAAAATAAAGGTTTGGAAAAGGCATTTTGCATAAGGAGGATGTCATTTTCTACTAACTTAATAGTCATGTCTGCTACTACAATATACCAAAGCCAGCAACCTCATCACAATTCACCCAAGTACAGTTCCCTTTCTAAGGCCTAGGCGCATTTCAGAAACTAGACCCTGTGCATTTTATTCACATGAGTCTGAATTAATTAGCCAAATTGAGCATGTTGCGGCATTTTTCTACCAGCAGATGCCAGATAGCAAAGATAGATGCCAGAAAGAATAGAACCTACTGTAGCCTCCAACTGTATGACATATGTTAGTTGGCATCTCCAGATGAACACTATCAATCCACATTAATAAGCACTCTGCTAGCATGTGGGCAGTTGCTTGAGAGTGAACGTTACTACTTTATATTTATTGAAAAACACATTCTTTCTGGGCTTTCCATTTCACCTTTTTCTCATATTTACATTTCAGAATCTATGTTTTTAAAATTTCATCTATTAGTCAACCTCATGTCTTAGGTAAGACAAAAGATAATCTTTTGTTATTAGTTATTTTTCCCACTCTTGCCATACCCACTTATAGCCTGCACCTGGCAGATTGAATTTAAAGGAGCTAACTTAGCAAGTATTCACAAAAGAATTCCCTTTGCTGGCCTTTACATAAATAAGCTTGCTCCTGGTGTCTCCTTTAGTTACTAGGGGTTGTATTTTTATTTCTAAGTTCTATATGTGTACATGCTTACCATCCCAGGTACATAGGAGGCTGAGGTAGGAAGGCCATGTGAGCTAAGGAGTTGGAGACTACCTAGGCAACCACAGCCAGATGCCATCTCAAAAAACAAAAAAAGAATCTCAAGTGTCTTCAGTGGCCGGGCAGTTTTATAAAGGGAAACAGTATGTAGTAGTGAAGGCTAAAGATTTTGAGAGCATACCACTTCCCAGCCTTAGCTGTATTTTGCTGTGGGAACATACACTTGGTATAGAGCTAAAATTTGGATTTTATTGAAATCTCCAGACTTTTAAATATTGTTAATCCTGAATTCTATTATAAAGTAAATTGCCTTATCGTATTTTATTTTATCCCATTACCCCCTCAAGCCCATGATCATATTTTTTAAAACAAATTTAAAGACAAAATTTGGTAGTACATGCTGGGTTTTTTGTTTGTGTTTGTTTTGTCGTTAGTTGGTTGGTTTTTTTCATTGTACTGAGAATTGAACTAGAACCTTCACACAGCTATATCTACAGCCCATTTTTTACTATTGTATTTTGAGACAAGGTCTCACCAGGTCACTTGAGTTGCTAAGGCTTGTCTTCAACTTGTAGTCTTCCTGCCTCAGCCTTCCAGAGTGTTGCGGTAACAGACATGTACCAGCACACCTGGCTCCACTTTTTTATTTTCATACAGATTCTCACTAAATCACTAAGTTCAGCAAGCTAGGCTCAAACTTGAGATCCTACTGCCTAAGCCTTCCTGATAGCTGGAATTGCAGGCTTGCACCACCAAACATGGCCAATGATACTTTAAATAAGATAGATTTTTAAAGGAAACCCCTGTTTAATAGATCATTCTGTCTTATGGGCAACATAGTGTTTATAAAGATTCAAGTATTTTAAGAGTTGAAAAATACCCTCATAATCTAGAGAAAGTCCTTTATTATATAGTGCAATGAAAATTGTACCTAGAATGATGTTTGTACTTATTATTCTGAACTTATAGGCACTTTTATATTCACTTTACACTGGAACCTGGCAACCAAGGACAGATATGAAAACTTGTTTTTTTTGTAAGAAACCAAGCTTCTGGTTAGTTAAATGTATTCCAGGAAACATAATTATCAATATGCTCATAATTCAGCATTATATCCTATTTAAAGTATGAACATGAAGAGTACAACTAGGTAGGACCAGACATAAAACCCTGTGTTCTATTTAAAGTCCACATATTAAATAAATTGATGAGGACAAAAACTACTGTAAGCCTCTTTTTTATTTGTAGCATACATTACTATCATAGCTTGTTTAAAACTATTGAAGCCCTAGGATAGTTTGCAATAATCCATTTCAGACTTTAAAAGTAGGGTTTCATGCAATTAGGATAAGCTGATGAGTTTAGATGAATTAATGGAGGAAAAAAATGACAGTGGAGACCTAATAACAAATTAGGAGTAGTTGGCTCACATTAATAAAGTACCACATTTACTCATGCAATGCCTCCATGGGGCCTCTAGTAAAAATCAAATATTGGCTAGGAAGACTTAGTGTAACCTATGAGGACAGTTTTTAAAACAGATCCAATCCTGTCCTGAACATTTTTAGAAACTAAGAGTTGGCTTTGCCATATAAAATATGCTTTCGTTTTGGATTTTAGTTTTGTCCCCTTCTCTGTCTGTCCATTGTGTGACCATAGCCTGTTTTTTTGGATGGCTAAGTAAAAACAGTGTGATCTAAAGCTAATACTTATGTTCAGCTATTTAACCTATGATCTTAGTCTAATCAGTACATTCTCACCTGAGCTGTGACAGAAAATCTCATATAATCTGTGCTGTATCACAGAAGAAAATACAAATTTTTTAAAATATTGCATATTTGTAATTAATCTTGAGACTTGCAAGTTTTGTTTTTTAAATGATTTTTAAAAATAATTACTGTTGTGGTGCACACTTGGAATCACAGCTGCTCAAGAGGCTGAGACAGAAGGGCAGCAAGTTTGAGGTCCTCCTGTGTGACTTAGCAAGACCCAAAATAAAATATAAAAAGAGATGAGGCTATAGCTCAGAGCTCTCCTATCACAAACAATACTTAGGGCTGCAAATGTAGCTCAGTGGTACAGCACTTGCTTAGTATGTATGAACCCATGGTTTGATCCCCAGCCCCACAAAAAAGTCTTAATAGCATGTATAAAATCCATGGTCAAAAATTAGTTTTTCCTAGAAGATTGCCTTCAGAGTGGTATCAAATGTGACAATTGGAATGCTGAATCCACAAATGAAGAGGAAAGGAACCACCCGCACGTTGGTTAGGCCCATACCTGATTTGTGTTACAGTTCCCAAATTAAAGAGGAGGGGGGTGGGGTGTAGTCTTCAGTGGATATATTGCACTTAAGGTTTTGTGTTTTTTTGTACTCTACCTCATTCCTCAGATTAACTGATTTCTCATTATATTTGACCACTGTGTATAGGTTATAATGGCTACAAAACTACCCATTCCAGTTAATATTGAAGAGTATGTGTTAGTTCAGCTTCTCCTTCTCATGATCTGCTCTCCTCTTACCAAACACCTTCTCAGATGTTGCTGTTCCTTCAGTGGGCTCCACACTAAATCTGCTTCCAGGCTAGTCTTCCTACCATGTGATGTTGGACTTTTCCTAGATATAGTTTTAGTCTGTTAAATCTGGTAATGTATGTATTTGGGGATGTAATGACGAGTAAAAGTATGATTGAATTCTAAAATCACATTTTAGGATGTTATTTTTAAATTACTATAACATGTCCACATGAAGTACATACATTACTTTGTATTAAACACTGCTAAACTAACATTTAGGCACCACTAAGGGAGATTAGAGTAATGAAGCCAAGGGAGATGTCTGAGTATTTCCCCATACCTTCCTTCACTGTGGCTATCAGGCTTTTGACTTTTTCTAATTTCAAAGACATAAAACATATTTGTACTCCCATCCACAAAAGTATTTTTAGCTTGTATCACTTCTTGGGGTGGGGGGCTTGGTATGGGGAATCAAACTCAGGACCTTGAGTTTGCAAGGCATTTGGTAGAACCACTTAGCTGAATCCCTGGCCCAAGTGTCACTTCCTTAATGAGATCATTAATTTTCCTGTTGAAATTGATATCCTCCCACAGCATTCCTGAACACCCATAAACAATCTTATTTTCCTGTTCTGTTGCCTTCTAGCATTCTGTTGTTTCTTTCCCCATACACTAGGCCAGAGTTGGCAAAATTACAGCATTCATGCTGCAGCAGGCTGTATCATTGAAAGCTCTAAAAGGTTTGCCATCACTGCACTTGGCTATAAGCTCCCAAGAACAAAGGTTTTTGCTTTTTGTCTCTTTTGTTCACTGATGAACAATGAGCGACTGACACAGGGTAGGCATTCGTATACTTAATAAAATGAATAACCATGTCATTTTCAGCCATAGCTATTATTTTTCCTTTGACAGTTTGTCCCTGGTAGTCTTTGCATCTCACCTGACCATTGAGAAGGTACTCTAGAAGCCGCAGCTACTTAGGGCACAGACAGAATACCCACATTTGGCTAGTAGCGGGCCACCTGAAAAAAAAATGTTCCTTCCTACTCCGGACTCTCAGAACAGTCAATTATCAACATAGTGCAGCCTGGCCAGTGCCAGCTGTCCGACTACCACACTGGTTATTTTAGCCCTTCCCTTCCTGTTTCTCTGCTGCCAATGCCTAAGGGGGCCTACTAAAGCAGAAACCAGGTAAGCAAGTGAAAGCACTGATCTCCCCACCGGCTTCAACCCACTCTCTACCCATCCTTTGGCTCCACACCCTTTCCACTTACAGTGGCAGCTTAGAATCTGAGGTTTGGTAGAGCACCAAGTTTCACTGTTTTCATCAGGCCAAAGTTTTGATGTGAGGGGTACAAACTAAAAGAAAACAAAACCAGGGTAGTGATTTAAACAACTAAGATTGAAATATCCAATGTTTCAGCATTTTGGCAATACACATAAAAATCCTTGGCTGCTATATATTTACTTCACCCTTATAATATGTATCCTTTATATTGTCATGTCAGAATTTAATAAGGCCTAATATTCTCATTGTTATATCTTTAATGCAGAGACTAGGTGTTTTGATAGCAAGTAAAGCTAATCAAGGTCTGTACTGTTCATACTGTTTAACCTGGAAAAAAGTAATCAGGTATCACTGGCAGGCCTAAGTGAGGAGGACAAAAAAATGTGGTATGAGAAGCTGTGCATTCTAAGGAAATGGCATAGTGTATTTACATAAAATTCCCTTTAATGATGAGTTGCTTTATTCCAGGTTCATTTCCTACTTCATCTCTCTAATAGAGCCATATAGCAGTGACCTGCAATGACAGAGTTCTGAAAAGCAGATAGAGGTTCCTGAGGAACTTAAGCCAGAATAATTTAAACAAAAGAGAGGAAGCAGCTTGGAGGATAGAAAATAGGAAGCTTTTATTAGCAATGTCAAAGTGGTGCTGCAGGAATGACAGGAGCAGCTTCCCCTGGTTAAAATGAATCTGAGGTGGGTGGGAAGGCAGGCACCACGCCAGCATCACGTTATAAATAATAAATCTCCTGTGGGGTGCTGTTGTGAAAGACATATGCTAAGGTTGCATCAGTATGATGAAACATCACTACACAGGTAGGACTGTCTGGAAGAGCATGTTTTAGGAAAGGAAGGGATCATTCTGCCATCTCAGCCAGAATACCTTGAACATACAGCAGTACTCCAGAACAAATGTCACTGACCAAAGATGGCATGTACACCAGGACCCTCCTGACAGGGTGCTCATGAAAAAAGACATGATGGTCCTTTCACAAGCCAGTTACCCATTGTGCTGCTTCCTTACAGATTACAGCTCTGGTGGCATTTTTAGTATGCTTTTTTTTGCAAAAAGAGTTAAGTCACTGGGGATTTAGCTCAGTGGTTCGGTGGCCTGCCTTGCAAGCGCAAGAACCCGAGTTCAATCCCCGGTACAAAAAAGAGTAAAAGTAGAAACCAGCTGTTAGCTGCTGAGAAAGTGACAATGTTAGGAAACATTTGCTAGTACCTCTTCCTACTTGCCTCACCCGTCATTGGGTTTTTAAAAATGTCTCCAGAGAAGCTAGCAGTGAACAAAGATGGCTGCATTATAAATTTATTTTCCTCAGCTGGTTATTAACAATCTTCATCTAAAAAAGCAGGGTTGGGGGGGTTCGATATTCAGCCAATTACCACCACCAGTGATTAATAAAAATTTATAATGTTTATATACTCTGAACCATGATTCAATACAAAATAACCATAGGAAATGTGGGAAAATTACATGAGAATAGTTCATTTAAACAATGATGGAACTATCTGTGCTAATGTGCTTTGGGAATTTTGAGTAACAAAAACAATTTCTTGTTGAAGGAAAACTTGACTGTATCGACAACATGGCGGATGTGAAGTCAATGTTCCGGGAGGTTCTTCCAAAACAAGGTACCTACATCACAGATACGTGGGTCATAAGATATTATAGAAACATATAAAGTGATGGTGTCAAATAGCAGGCATTTAAGAGCTACACATCTGCAGACTATTAACTGTTGTACTTTTAGCATGAATAGCTTGTGAAGGAGATCCTCACTTTTTCCCCTGGTCACAGAATAACAAATGAAACATTTCTTATACCTAGAAATCCTATTAAAGCCAGGAATGCAGGTTACAATATGAAATGTTCAGTGAAAGTGAGAACTTTCAAGCGCAAAGTCCTGAGTTTGATCCCTGCTACCAAAAAAAAAGCTGAAGGTTTTCAACATTGAGTAATTTGAATATTTGTGTTAAATTAATAGCATACCTTGCTTTACTTTTGTGTATTATGTACATATTCTCCCAGACTTTAATTCAAATAAACACCTGACACAAAAAGTTGTACTTAAGACAGCTTCAGTCTTTTATAGAAAGTTCAAAGTCTGTCCTTAACACTCCAGTACTGCTTTTGCTTATGGACGTGGCTATGATCATTCTGGTCCTGAGCAAAATAGTCCAACAACAAAAGTTTTTTCACTGATAATAGACTATAGTTTTTTAGACCTTCATTCTAGCTCCACAGCTAAGCCACCAGATGACTTATTTTCACTGAATTGATTTTTATTTCTTATTAAACTTAGGGCAATTGTCGGTGGAAGATATAACCACAATGGTGCTGTGTAAACCCAAACTTTTACCCTTAAAATCTTTTACTCTGGAAAAACTGGAGAAAATGCAGCAAGCAGCACAAGAGACCCTTCACCAGCAGGAAATGGCAGAAAAGAAAAATGGAAAAAAGTCCCCTGACCAATAAACTTAATACTTACAGCTCCCTACCTTACCTGCAGTATATTAATAGCTAAAGTATAATCTGTACCTGTATGCTGAAAATGGTATCTACTAATAAAACTGGTATTATTCAAGTAAATAATTTTAAAATACTGAAGATTAATAAAACTTGTTAAACACTGATTTGAATTTAATAGTTAACTTCGAACCAAATGTTTTGGGATTTTCATGGTTTCTAGGTTACAATTTAAATTACCATTCTCCACTCCTAGTACAAGTTTGACATAGGCACAAGTGACTAAATCCAACTTTTATGTAGAGGATTTTTACATGTTTATTACAAATTTGAATCTGAACATGAAGTGTTCAAGCTTTTACATTATCTAATTAAAACCTTTTTCAACCAATTTTGTGCCATCATGTTTAATGTTATCTTGCCTGACTAGTAATGATCCTACTAGTTGTTACAAAACTAGTTTCTTAAATGTGATTAAGAAACTTTCACCTATTTTGTAGTTAGCTTTTAATTATATTAATTTCAAGGACTGAAGAATTATATGAGTACTTCTACCATGTAGGTATCAAAAAAGCTGAAAATGGCTTATAATTAAGCCTGAATAATATGGTCTTAAAGAAACGTAAGACAAATATGAACATTAAATTTGGTGTGTTCTCAAAGGCTGTACCTCAATCTATAATAGGTATCTTCCTAAGAATACTTTTGCAAATACAATCATGGTTAGTTTGCTGCAGTCAAGAGACAATTTAAATTATAAGACTTTGAAACCTTACTGAGTAATTAGGCTTTGTAAAGGGAGATTAGTGATATAATCATTCTTTAGGTAACTTATTTATTGGTAGTTAGCATTTTCTCAGACATAGTAAATGTAAAGCTTTGAGTCCCTGAAGAAAAAAAATTTATAACACTAATCATTATTTAGTAACAATTTAAGAATGACAAAAGGTAGGCTCTAGGTCATGTCACTAATGGAATACAGTATACATGTGATTCTCTTCAGTATTTTTTTTATTATTGCATTTTTTACTTAGAAGTCTGCAAGTAAAAAAAAGATATGACAAATCTACTAGGTTCAAATGTGCTTCCTTGTATGATTTAACATTTGCTATGTGAAATTTAAGTTGTCTTTTTTGCAGTGCTGGGGATAGTACCTACGGCCTAATACCACACTAGACAAGAAATTTAAAGGTTGTTTTTTAAAGACCTCAAATAAGTGTACTCTCAATAAAGAATCAACACTGCTTCACATGTTTTATTTTGTTGTACATTCTTGTAGAACCAGTTTCATTTTTCCAGTTTTGTAGAAAAATAGATGTTCCAGCCACCATTTACTTAACGGTCTAGTCTTTAAGACCAATCAATATGTTCCCTGGAAAGATGAGTAAGTCTCATGACTCATTTTTTTTTTTTTAATTCTTTACGACAAAGAAAAAACTTTTTTTTTTTTACTCCCAAAGCACAGTATTTCAACAGCAGCAGCCAACATGGGGTTTAGCAGCTTAACTTTACCCCCTAAATAAAGCTTTGTATAAACCAGTGATTTTACTACAAAAAACACTGTCCTTGAAAGAAAGGAGTGGCAGTCAGACATCAATGCAAAACTTGGAATGATTAGGTCATAAACATGGCACTTACAAAAGGTAGCTTATAGAATTTTCCACTTAAGTGGCTACTTTTCTCTCCTTTCTACCCTCAAAAAGAAAAAACAAAAACAAAAACAAACTTCCTTTTTAAAAATTCCCCTTAAAATTTATAAAATTTCAGAAAAGCCTTGTACCCAAAACAAGTGCTAAAAAAAAAAAAAAAAAAAAAAAAAAAAACCTGTGCTAACAACTCTTACAACTCAGTTATATATTTTTATAACACCTAAGATTGCAAGAGTTCTTATATTCAGTAGCTCTCTGGTTTAAGGCGACCTCCATCTCCTTCACTTACAAAACGCTTTCTGCCCCTGTAATGAAAAGAACAAAAATAAGCAAACAGATTCTTACTATATTCAATTAAATATTAAAAACTTGGCAATCTTTGGTTATACATTTAGATTTGAAAGTTTTTAAGAAAATGATCAGCATTTCTTAATTATTTTTGAAAAAGATATTTTTCCCTACTCTAGTATATTGTAGCAAACAAATGAGCAGCAAATCTGTGCAGTTTTGTTTAAAAGCTTAATTACTAAAATACATTCTTAGGGAGTTATGTTCATGTTGAAACAAAACTAAGACATCTGATTTAGAAATTTAATATTCCTACATCATTGGAATTTACATAATGAGCCACAGAGGAAACACTAACATGAATGAGAATTATGCAAGCTGGAGCTGTTATATAGGTTTATCAAAATATACATGTTTAACAATTTTTAAAAATGCTTCTCAGCTGTAGAAAAGCCATTAACTAAATGTAGAAAGATAAAATCAGAACAGTTAATTCTAGCCTATCTCCGATTCTGGGATTTTTGCCATTTCGAAACTTAAGCCCTTCCCTTAAAGTAACCACTTTAGCTACTACAGGTTGCAGCAAGAACCCCAGGGAAACAAAGCTAGTACAGAATTATCCCTTAGTATCTTACACCAGGCCAACAGGTACAAACATGTAAGATCACGTACAATTGTGCACTTTACCCAAATAAGCAAAACTACGTATGATAAAAGTCAAGTTGTTTGACATTCACTGAAAATTTAGGTATCTCCTCAAATATCTTCAAAAGTGAAGCCACAAAAGAAAGCATCACTTTGAAACAGGCTGAAAGACTTAAAAAGCAGTGCCAAAGATACTGACATCTTTTCAAACTCACTATGACTAAGTAGAAACCACCTACATTTTCATGAATATAAAGGCTTTGAGACCAGGTAAGAAATGAAGATGGGGAGTTTTATTAATGAATACCATTTGGCACATCAGTACATAAATGGTGTCATCACCAAGCCATGATGCGCATTTCCAAACATTTCTATCAAAGCCATTAAACCATCCATGTTCCACTATTTTCCTTCAGCCTTAATGGCTTCTAAACTTTGAAGAACATCAACCCTACCAGGAAATAGTTTTCAAATTTAACTTTCACGATGCAACAGAAATACTCAAAGCTTAAAAGTTTTTTCAGAAAAAACTACAAAAACTTCAAATGTGCATAAAACTAAAGCAAATTTTAACTGTTTATCTCTATTACATTATAAGCTTCATTATCATTAACAACAAAATCCTTACCAATTCAAGGGTTATAGCATAGTACAAATAATTACCTCCAAAGAACAATACTCCTAAATGTATATCCATTTGCACATACTTTCTAATAGCCTAATTCTCCATCCTATGAGGAAACAGGAAGCCACAGAGTATGGGAAAAGATCCTAGGATTTTTGAAGGCTGAAAAAGTCTGAATTCATACTTGGCCTCTACCATGTGTGAACTTAGAAAAGGCACATTATACCCTAGAAGCTTCAATTTTCTTAATCTTGTGATTAATACCTACTCTGAAATAACACTGAAAGGTACACAGAACTACTGTACAAAATTAATTTTCTTAAAATGAACTGGGGCTTCACGAGGTAGTACTGTACACATTTACTGGGGGCAAAACAAGCTTTACTCATTTTTCTCCATAAACTCAAAATAAATGGTTCTCTCTCTTTAGTCACATAAGGGAATATACTACTACAGTACTGTTCTTACAGTTGGAACAAGAAACTGTCTTAGCATAGCCTTCCTAAGTATTTTACATTGAGAAAGTACTATTTAAATAAAGTACCTTGAAGGACAAAGATCTCTGAGTTGTTTGGAAATTATTCCAGCCTGAAAACATTCTTCTACAAATCTCTCAAGCACAGAGTATGAGTGTGGGACATCCAGATTAATGTCAGGAATTTCATTGTAAATTCTCTCATAACCCTAAAACAATTGAAATTATATGTAGAATTGTCAGTCCATATAAAATACATGGCATGAAACACAATCCATCATTATAACATCAATCTATACTTAAAGTCAAATGTTTATATGATGAAACAAATCAGAATCTGAACCTTTGAAAAGCACAGAAGTATGTGTGTTACAGAATGTTTTCTTTAATACTCTCAAAATACCTGCAGGCAAATGTCAGACATCAGGCCAGTTCCTCACTTACTTCCCCACACTTACTACCTTTTTAAAAATATAACACAAGTATCATACGTTACTAACATTTAAGCAATAATATGTAAAATTTTAAATATGAAACAAGTATAATTTGTTAAAAACTGGTATTTTTCTCTAGATATAAAACAGGAAGTAGTATATCTTAGAAACTTCAACCCTGAAGTAAAATAATCACATTTTTAAAAATAGGCAAAACAAAAAAAGTGCAGTGTTTCTTTCCAAGAAATGGGTACAAGAGTGTCAAACCTCAAACATTACCATTAAGAAAACAAAACCTAAAGACAACTTAAACATCCTAAAAGAAACTTTCCTTCACAATCAATCTTTAATCAATATATATTTACAGTTTAAGCTTCAAAATTATTCAAAATGCTGTCATACTTACTCTTTTCATTTGGTCTACTGTAATGGTAGAAGATTTCCAAAGAGATTTTAATAAATCCAAAATCATCTTGAATGCACTTTCGCCAGTTGATTCTAAAACCATTACAATAGCCTAAAAATTGAATGAAAGAATAAAAAATTCATAAAGGAATTTACTCCTACAATGTATTAAATTTTTCCTCTAATACAAGAATGATTACATACCAAGTAATGATTATATAATTTTCTAAGAGTTATAGTTTTAAAACCATTTTTTAGTACTTTTCAAAAAATGTTACTAAAGAAGCATGAAGTCTCTATGTACAGTAAGGAACATTTTTTAAAAATTTTGACATGGCAAAATAATCTTACTTCATATACAAGTTCATGGTGAAAATGAGGTACTTCCAAGTCCTTAAGACAATGCTCAGCTTCAGATATGTCTCCAGACAGTAAATACTCTTTCAGCAGCATATCAATCTATTAGATTGCAAAGGTGAAATATGTCAGAATATGTTTTTAAAAACTGTGCTTGCCTAAAGGATTTTTTTTTTTTTTTTTTTTTTTTTTTTTTTTGTACTGGGATCCAACTTGAGACCTTGTGCTTGCTAGGCAGGGAGTGGAACCGCTGAGCTAAATCCCCGGCTGCCTAAAGGATTATTTACAGCAATGATGATGAACATTTTAGAGCATTCAGTAATACAAACAGCCTGCCATGTGCCACAGGTTCACTGCTACGTATTTACACTCATTCATCCCAATATATTACACAATGAAACAGCAAGTCCTAGTTGTCTGAGAACAGTCATTTGACTGGAACATTAAAAAAAAAAAAACTTTTTAGGGGGCTGGGGATTTAGCTCAATGGCATGGCACCTGCCTTATAAGCACAAGGTCCTGAGTTGGATCCCCAGTACCGAAAAAACAAAAAACTTTTCCATAATTAAGTAAATTTCAAGCTTTTAAATGACACATAATTAGAAAGCAGGTGCAGTGATTCAGTGTGTCTGAATAGTCACCAAGATCTCCCGAGCAGATTTACAATAAATATGGTCTTGAATTGTGATGAATGCTTGTGTTTCCAACTGAAAATAAGGGAATTTTTTAAAATACCACTAGAGGGCACTAACTGAAAGTCTTTTATGAATTTTTGAAGTGGCAAAAAATAATTCTTTTCTGTCAAGATATTAAAAATGCAATGGAAGTAAAAATGTAGCATTAATAGACAGGGCTAAGACTTCCACAGAGTCTCTTTTATCTACAATTATAGATTTGAAACTCATTATGTAAAAATGTTAATAATTCAGCTTCCAGTTATAGATTACAGGTCTGACTCTCCCACTTGTACAGTAACATCTATGACTCTAGAAAAAAAGTGGAAAGTTCTTCAGCTAAAAAGCTTCAGTCAGGAATGTTCTTCCCTATAAACTGCCTATACCTTTCTATTTAGTGGGGACTCAACACTGGCTGATTAAAATCTTAATGTAAGTATTCCCTACTTCCAACTTATACAATATTATCTTTATAAAAAGTAAAGTAGCCAGGGATTTATTTAGCTCAGTGGTGCCACTGCCTGCCACACAAGCAAGATCTTGAGTTCGATCCCCAGTACCAGAAAATAAATTTTAAAAATGTAAAAAAGTAAAGTAAAATTTAATGACTGGAATATATCCTAATGAATACTCCAATCATCATGATTTAAGAAAATAAATTTAAAGCACTGTATTAGCATATTCACAAATAATTACAAATTACAAAGGTGCCTTCATGCACAAACCTAATTCCTTCCATAAATCTGGTCTGAAACAGAATTGGACAAGAACGAAATCATCAAACTTCCCCATAAGGTCAACAATGAACCTAACCTAATCATTGATTTGACTGGTTCTCATCCAATTCAGTTTGCAATCAAAACCGCAGAAAGAATTAAATTTGTGAGCCAAGGTACCACTGTAATGTTAATTAAATTCTGTAAGTTAGTTATAAAAATAAAAATGTTCCCGGTCAGATGCCACGCATTTTTGAGAATAAATTACAATAGCATGTAAATATTTCTAGAAATCTGTCTAACCTTTCCTTCCTTGTAAATGAATATCCAAATAATGTCAACTTCAAACTCACACTGTACAATGGTAGTTTTATTTCAATTTTTTACCTTGTCTATTTTTGTATTGAGAGGTAATTCACATATCATAAAGCAGTCTGGCAGTTTCTCAAAATACTTACATCTTAATCTTAAAGTTTCTAACCCATATATATAGGATACTTTTCTTTGTAGGTCTCTGATTTAAATGTTTTGCCACTTTCAAGTGTACAAGATTTTCATTTCTTTGGTTAATTTCTTAGTATTTTATTTTTGAAGCTATTGTAAATCTAAGTGTAATTTTATTTTAGATTACTACAACACAGACATAGAATTGAATTCTTATATAGTTCTCATATCTTGCAAACTTGTCTGTTAGCTTTGGTTTTTTGTTATTTTGTACATTCATTTGTATTTTCTGCCTACAGATCAAATCATCTAGAAATGCAGCTAGTTTTCTTTCTTTCTAGTCTAGATACTCATTTCTTTTTCTTGCCTAACTGCCCAAACATCTTAGCTGTTTTTGTATCTCAATTTTTCTATTTTTCATTTTTTTAAAAACACAGATTGTAATTTTGACACTGCAAACGCCAACATAATGTTTTACCTGAGACTATCCAATTTCAAATTGCTCATATAAAGACATATTTTACAAAAACCTTATTTTAACAGTACATATGTAAAAAAATTTTAATACCAATGTAAGATTTCAAGGATTCCCTAGAAATTCATAGTCTTTTTGGGTTTTGGTTTTTTTTTTGGTTTGAGATAAGGTCTCACTATGTAATCCAAGGCAGTCTTAATCTTAGTATATAGTTTAGGCTGGTTTCTCAGCTCCCTACCCCAGCCTCCTAAGGGTTGAGAAGATAGGCATACACCACCTCACAGGGCAATAGCCTTATAAGTATTCATGAAAGCTCTTTTAGCTAAAAAAAAAAAAAAAGAAAAAAAAAAAGAAAAAAAAGAACTATATCTAATTATTGTGTAGCAAAATAGTATAAAGCCAAAATAAATCAATTACAGTATTCCATTTTCTGTTTGTAGCTGTAAGATGACTTGTTTCTTTCTCTCACAGGAATGTGTATAAATCAAGTTAAAAACAACCCTCAAAAGGTACCTCTTTAACAAGGTGATTGACAGACTGCTGCCCGCCTCCAGAGCCCCACACACTGTCTTTACGCCTTCTGCCTTTAGACATACTCAGCAGTACAGTGGCCTTATCCAGAGCAGCTCTGCAAAAAGAGAAAGGCAAAATTTAATTCTGATACCTAGACATGCCTGAATTTGCTAAATTTGGATAAAACTGACAATCACATATGTACTGAAAACTTCCATAAATATCAAAGCAATATAAAATTCAAAACTCCTCTTAAAAAACTATTTTTCAAACTAAAAAGTAGGGAGCAAAAAAAGTTGATTCTCATTAATAGTCCCATGCTCTGTTACTTCCATTGCTTGGTCAAGAAAAATCCAAAGATTTGGGGACAAGTGCCTATATTTGAAGATTTTCTAATTCTTTTATGTTAAAAGTTTAAAATGTAGATTTAAATGTTTGGGGCAGATTTTGAAACATTTATTGAAGATGCTAGGAAATAAATTTGTATGTTTCATTTCATAAAAAGAAAAAAAAAAGAAAAGAAAAATCCAAAGATATTACAAAATAATTACACCAAAACAACATTCACATGTAACTAATTTTTACCTAGATCCATGCCTTTCCAGGGAGACCTGAAGCAGCCCTGGGAAATTAAGTCAATATAGAGCCTAGGACATGGCGAAGTCCAAATTTAAGTATGTATGAAAAGGGCAACCCACTTTCCAGTTCCCCCTTCTGTCTCTCTTAGACAGAAGCTTTCTTTCCCTCAATAAATTTTTTCTATTCTTAAACTCCGTTGCTCCTAGAGTTCATTCCTCGATTTTAGAGAACATGAACTCACGTTTCAGCTATCTAGCAGGTTTGGGAATTACATCTCTTCCCCCTATATCAGTTAACACTGGTTTGCTTTGCTCAAAGGATTATTTCTGAGGCCTGTGATGAGGCAATACAAGACAGCAAAAAACATGAAAGACCTAATAATTTTTTTTAACTTTAGATATTCTCACATCCTAAAGATCTGTACTACTCCTGTGAATAGCTTAAGAAATAAATACAAACTCACTCATGTTTAGAGAAGGTGTTAGAGCAAAGCAAATCCATCTACCCTAAATGCTCCTAAAGTGTAAATTGCTGAAAGAAATTGGATCTAGGATCCCAGGAGTTTTGAGGTTGTCGTTCATCTATAATTCAAGTAAAGATAACAGAATTGAGGCAAGACAGATAAGATGACTGGATTAAGCATCAGTTCTTTTAAATGCTATTTTAAAGACAAAGAACCCCATTAAAGTGACTTTAATGAGTACTGAAGGAATTACCAGTAAAATTCCTTAAATAAAAATTTAATTTTTAAAAAAATCTATGAAGAAAAATCATACAAGTCCCAAATATAACACTGAGCTTAAAATGAATTATAGCAAAGAATAAGCATCAAAGACATGATTTCCTAAGAAAAAAACTTACTGAAGATAAAACAAAATTGTAAATGAGACTTCTATGTTATCCATCTTTATAAAACAATCAATAATTTCAGAACATTAGAACGTGAAGTGACCTAAAGGACATTCTATAGCCAGTCTTTTCTTTTTATAAATATGAAATTGAGGCCCAGAGAAGGGTTGCTTCACATGATGGTCACTAATACGTTAGCTAAAACCCAGAACACTTCTATCCTCTTCCAGTTGTTTCATGTCAATAATCTCTCAATCTTAACAGTGGAGAATATAGACAAGTGACAGGTGTTCACAATATATATGACATTTTAATAGCATCCTACAGAATTCCACCCTACTGTGAAATTCTAAGTAGAAAAATTACTTACCTAGCCTGTATACAATCTACAGTTCCTTTGTAACTATCAATATAGGTATTACATAAAATTCCATCTCCAACAGCTCTAGCAATAAATTGGCCAACCAACTATAATAAGAAAGAAAGAGAACTTTATAAAAAAAATCTAAAACAAACCTTTACTAGGATACAATTCTAAACACATAAATGATGACTAGCTGAACTACACAGTCTCTACCACAAAGATATGTTGGAGTATTCAAAACACCTACTTGGCACCTGTGAATTATGCTTGGCATGTGCTCCCATATCTTGAACTTGTGAAGTTAATTACGTGGGGGGCATATGTGTTTTGCTCACTACCCAAAACCTTCCACACTGCCTAAGACTTAATATATGATCAAAATTAAATGAATGGCTGAACATCAAGAGAAACCTCTTTTCTAAAAAAAAAGAAAACAATACCCACACTAAGTTTTCAAAAAAAAAGAAAAAAAAACTAGTTAAAATAATTTATCTTATGGAGAAAAGGTGTGTAGAAATATTTATTTGCAAACATGTTCATAACATGTTATAAAAATTGAAAACAATATCCAACAATAAATTTAGGTTAAATAGTACCTACATGGGATAGTACATGTACAGAAATATATTTTCCACATTTTATGGAGTGAAAAAATCAATTTTACAAAATAGCATATGTCATATGACTCCATTTTTAATTAAAAGTATAAGCCATAAGGATATATAACCAAAAACAGAATGGAAAACTTAATGTCAAAATCTTAACAGTGGTTATTTTTGTTAGCCTATTTTCCTTTTTGGCTTTTTGCAAAAGCATTGGTTTAAAGAGGAAAAAAGGTCCACTTTTGAGTCATAACTCAATACCTGAGACAGACTACCATCGGTCACAGAAAAGCAGAACAGAAACAGCTCTGGGAATAACCTACCAATTTCTAAAGTAATATGTTTTAAACTTTGATAATTAAACTACAACTTCACATTTTCAAAGTTACAAAAAGGAACAGTACTTAATGACTTTTATAGTAAACATTAGTGAAGCAAGTCATAACCTGAATTTTTAGAATACCATACTAGCTAATGAAGTTTACATAGAGACTATACAGCAAAAAATATTAAATATATACACTTAGAAACCTAAAAACTATATGCAATATGTGAGGAAGATATTAAATTGAATTTACAGTCTTATAAGGACTGTTTAAACAAGCAAAATAGCTAGGACAAATACACTAAAATGTTAGGGAGTATTATAAGGACTGTTTAAACAAGCAAAATAGCTAGGACAAATACACTAAAATGTTAGGGAGCTGCTTTTGTACGGTCTTTCTTTCCTGTCTGTCTGCTAAATAAAATGCACTAGGAATTTACATATAAATTCATATAGTGGTACAGTTTTAAGTGGAAAGGGGAGGGGTAATGATCCAAAAGAAGGTAATACAGACCTGTGGTGCTCTAGGGGTATCCAATGCTAATTCCGGGAGGTCTTTCAACAGCTTGTCAAATGATTTCTCCACATCATTTGTGCTCATTACTGTCCCACAGAGGTCAGAAAGAAGTTTAGATGTCATTTCTCTGTGACTAGCCTTTCCTTCCAATGCTAAGGACACTGCCAGCACTGGTACTCCACTCTTCATTTCACCAAGATTTAAATCTTTTAACATTTCCTATTCAAAAGAGTAAGTTTTTTTATCTTAAGGAGTATGTCGCTTCCTATAGTTCAATACAATTTTATTTTTGGAAAATCAAGCTTTTACCTATGTACCTCTCCCTCTTTAGAAATAATCAGTTGAGCAGTCATACTTAGTGGAATAGGATAAATAATGCTGATTTGTCAAACTTTACCTGAACACTAAATTCAAGAATGTGAATTACACTCAGAACACTTACTGAACTATATAATATTACTAAGTTTGGTCCTAGTTAACTAACCCTCTGCTTGAAAATCTATTATTTCTAAGAATATTTGATGAGCATTTGTGGAAAAATTCATTGTACATTATAAGCTGTTTATACGTTTTACTGTTTGAATACGCTGCTGTTCATATACTCCACTGTCCCTGTCTTGAAACAAACATTTGTAATTTCATGCTAAGTTTAAAATGAGATCTTACAGCAAAAACATTAAAAATAGCACAGATACTGCTTAAGTGAAGGATGATGTATATCTACAAATGGAGTATTATGCAGCCACAAAAAGGATACAGTTCTTTATGTTCTGATATATTTCCAAGATATATTGTTAGTTTTTAAAAGGTATAGAACAGTATACATAAAATGAAACAATTTGTGCTAAAAAAAATGAGATCTTAAACCTTTCTAAGTTGGAGTCATGATATAAATACTGGGATAAAGTCAAATATTCCTATTAAAAATATAGCAGCAGCTAATGCTACTTTATATTACCTCATTTAATTACAATGTAATTATCACTCCTAACATACTCAAAGCATAGACAAATTAGGAAATGGCTGAGGACACCCAAGAATAGCCCACACCACTGGAAGTGGAATACAGGCAGCCAATAGAACCCAGTTACTGAAGAATGCCTCCCTTTTCTGTCTCACCAAGTTGCTCCTCCTGCCTCAGCCTCCCAGAGTGCTGGGATTATGGGAGTATGCCACCACATGCAGGTTTTTTAAGAGTCTTTAAATCATGGTTCACTAACCACCTAAACAGGTGTCCTTGTTGGTGATCTCTTCCCACACCATTTCATCTTCTTCAACTGTACTAAAGACTCATTCCTTTTGTTTTAATACCGGGGATGGAACTCAGGACCTTACGCTTGCGAGGCAGGCAGCAGAACTACTGAGCTAAATCCCCAGCCCACACTCACTGCTTTTAAACATGATACTCCACTGTCCTAGAAAACCACCTTCAGCCGTCTTTTCTAGCAAACTCCTAACCAGCCTTCAGATGGCCCAAATCACCTCCTGTACAGCTCTCGATTTTATGCTTCTACAACCCTCTGCTCATAGAACTACTCAGTCAATCATAGTATATACAAATGGTAAAGTCAAATACCTAGATTTCAACAGTCCCTGCCTTCACAGGACTTTTAAAATTAATCTTGTCCTCTATAACCAAACATTATATTTAATAATCTATTTACACTTCATTGAGCATTAAAAGGGTAGGAATCATCTATCTCCTCCATGTGGCATTTACTAAACAAGTATTTATTTTGTATTGAATTCTACAAATCCAAAGATACCAAACCTCATGGTAACAGAAACATGAAAAAAGTCCAATCTGAATTTAAAGAATCTAATTCTAAGTCTTTTAAGAAGTTACAAATGTATTTTAATACAGTAATCCTAATGAAGCTAATAAATTTATTTTACTTCTAGATTTACTTTATGAACAATTTATAATAAACACATTAAATGTTTCCAAAATATGCTTCAAAAATATTCTCCTGTTGCTGTATGCATTCCTTTTCAAATCTTTGCAATGGTGTGTTTTATTTTTTGGACTGAATACAAAGATAAATTTTAACCTACTGCCAAACACTAAAGTAAATGTCAAAAAATACAAGTATGCCAGGAAATTTCAACTGACACCCCCAAAGAGGCTTCAGAGAGTCCATTAATGCCCTGAAATTGCTAAAAATTATTTTTTATAAATTATAAGAATAGATGTTACACTAAAATTATAAAGCATATTATGCCATTTTTCAGTGTAGCAAATGTCACATATGTCTTATCATATCACAAATATATAAAACTTGATTAAACAAAATGAAAGTTTATCCTATTTCTTAGATATTATTCATGAAAATTTACTCAGTGATAGATCACTGAGGTAAGTTCTGATTCTAATAGCATTTTTTCTCTTATAGCATATAAATTACACTTGTAACTTTAAACCTACCGCAACTTCATTAGTATCTCCATGCTCAAAATATTCCTGTATAATCGGTGTCAACGTCTTCTCAAATGCCCTTTCATCCAAAGGCAAAACTACAGTTTCATAAACACAATTCTCCTGAGAAGGGAAGAAGAAAAGTTATAAATTAAAAAGTAAACTATTCAGATAAATTATATTCCAACTGGTTTAGTAATCTCCATTTAGGGCAAGATAAAGATATGGCACCTGCTTTAATCACTTATATTATATACAGCTATAGTCTGGGTCACTGCTCTTTTATAAAATCTGGAATTTGATAAACCAATATGCAGATTGGAACCATCAACCACAGCAAATATATGACTTGTTCTCAATCCCCATTATCTTATGTTAATTTTCTTTCCTCTCTCAAAACTAATCTTTCAGTGCTCCAAAATCTATGTGATAAGATTCCTATTATAGAAAGTATTTTCATTAAAACTTCATGTTTTGTCAGGCACAGTGGCCCACCTGTACTTCCAGCACTTCAGGAAACTAAGAAGGGGAAGAGAGTTTAAGGCCAGCTGGGTGACAAGGCCTCATCTCAAACAAACAAACAAAATTCCTTCACTGTTTAAAAGATGAAATAGTACCTCATAAATATATACTAATACTATGAGTCAATTTTTAAAAAGTGGGATCCAAAATCTTCCTAACATTATAATAAAAAATAAAAACATAAAGATCATAGCGGCCGAAAATCTCTAAGAAAAAGCACTGTTCAAGTGAAATTTCAAAAAGATTACTATCCATACCAAACCATCCCTCTCTCGGCTACACAAAGCTCTGAAATACTGTAATTTATGACTGGTTTCTAACAACACATGCTTTATAAGACTCTAGATATTCAGCCAATTCCACAGCATTTGAATCCCACTGGTTTTAAATATATATTTTTTCATATTCTCTTAGAAATATTACCATGTCCAACTATTAGTTAAAATAGGTAGGTACAGATATATACACAAACAGTACACTATAAAAACAACCTAACAAATGCCCTGATGCTTTCCCAATTAAAACTCTCAAGACTGTTTCCTATCTTATGCAAAGTTAGTTTTTAAAAAGTAAATATCTTGTATTTGTTTGAAAATGATGAAGAACATGGTTGGGGAGGACTGGTAAATGAATACAGGATAAAGTAAGACTATGAGTTAACAGTTATCGTCACTGGTGAAAATGGAAGATAAGTACAAACAGGTTTGTTATACTATTCACTTTCAGAGTGTTTCCATTAAAAATATAATATATTAACAAATCATTATAAAAATCTATTGAAAATGTACATTTTCAGTATTTTCCATAGAAAAAAATGCACATCCCCAAAACAAAATTTATCAGTTACAGCAGTATTGAAAAGGAGCCCAGAGCTGGGGATTTGGCTCAGTGGTTCCTCCACCTGCCTTGCAAGCACAGGGCCCAAGTTCAATCCCCAGTACGAAAAATAAAAAAAAGAAGTCTAACATCTATAAATCTTTTACAGTATTCAAAACATTCTTCTCTATTATCATTACTACAGAAACTAAACAACAGAATTTACTGAAAACTGATAAAAAATTCTAATGAATTTGTTGAGATGCTCTTAAAATTACACATAAATTACTATCAATTAACTGGGTGGGCTTCCTCATGTCAAATTAACCTAACAATCTGTAAGCACTAAGTACACATGACACAGATAAAGATGTTGTATCTATCCAGGTGTACATATGTGCTTATCTACATACATGCTCCTTGAAAGCTACAGAGTAAAAGTATATAGATATTATTGGGCAAATTTATGCATTAACTACAAACATTAAGTCAAAAAGTTTATAAACATCTTAAATATAAAAGAAAGTAAATCACTGATACCTGATCGTCGTCATAGTTAGGATCTTTTACATCCACCTCCTCCACATCATAAACCTGCCCAGGTGTACCCCAGACGCCTTTGCCTCCTGCACCACCTAACAAAGTTTAGAAGTGAACAAGGGAAGTTCAGAGTTCACAAATTTTAATTGAAATCTGAAATACTTATAAATGTACAAATGTTAAATAAGAGCTAGCTTTAAAAAAATAAAACTTTAATTTCTGTTAGCTTTTTCCAATTGAAAATTGTACCTGAGAGATTTACACTTTTCCAGTATGGGGGATCAAACTAGGGACCTTGCGCTTGTGAAACAGGCTTGAGTCACTGAGCTAAATCCCTAGCCCTAAAAGTCCTTTTTATTTAGATCACTTTTTCAATAATGATTAGACTTTTTTATAATCTATTTCCATAAACACCAAATTGAAACACCATATGGAGTCAAAAACAAACAAAACAAGAAAAATAGCCATATCAAAGACCTTGAGAGAAATTAAACTGCAGCTAAACTCTAAATTATACATTTCTTGAGCCAAAGCAAAAAGAAACATGTTGGCCAGTAAAACGTGACACAAAAAACTCAAGGGAAAAACTAACAAACACTGTAATCACCATCAAATGTTTTAAAGTAAAATACTCAAAACATCAAAGTACACATTAAACTGTATTTTGCAATTAACAATGTTACAAATAAATGCTATTTAACCATTAAAAGCCCTAATAACTATCTCTCTACTTCTACATACAAACCAACCAGTATGAGTTTAACAATTCCAACTTTCCAAGTTTCTTTACTACATAAAATTGCTGAAATATTTTTAAAGGATCAATATATTATTTTTAACGAACTCTTACAATGTCACCAATTTGTCTATGTGAAGTTTTACTTTGTACAACACACAATGTAATCCTTGCCATTAAAGCAAATGAGAATCTTCTAATGAGGTTTCATTTTGATCAAACAATGATTATTCAAACTATTCTACAAAGATAATAACTTCTGACCAACTGCAGTAATTTATCTATTTTGTTAAGACTCTTTCTCCCTTCTCTTATAAAAATACTGTTCTTGGGTCAGGGATTTAGCTCAGTGGTTCTGCCACCTGCCTCACAAGCTCAAGGTCCCAAAGTTGGATCCCCAGTACCAAAAACACAGAACAAAACAAAAAAATGTTCTTCCAGTCATTTTTTTTTCTTTAGTTCTAGCTTCATTAATGGAAGATGCTGAATTCAATTTTCCTATGTTTCATTCTTTTCTCCTTATTCCAAGCATTTTCTTCATTACCAAAAAAGCGAGTCACTTAAATTATCAGGATCGTAACTGAGCTATAAATTGAAACTCCATTATTCAGAAGCTAGTCAAATCGCCAAATTATATAAAAACTCCCACTAAAGAGAAGCTGACAGACCCCTCATTCAACAAATTTTAAGTCTCTACCATATGCTAGTCACTACTGCAAGTGCTGGGGATAAAGTAGTGAACACCTATCCACTCCAGTATCCAAAATAAACAGAACTAAAGAGAACTCAGAACCAGATAAACAAAAATGTGAAATTTTGTCCAGATACTACCAAATTTATATTCACTACTTTTAACAGTGGACATAACTAGGTTCATTAGATAACAGATATGATGAAGTTTTGGCTATCTCTTTCAAAGACAGTATGTGCACAACTCATAAGTGAGAGACATTAGTATGTACTTTATTTTGTGAAAATAAGAGTAGAAGCTCCATTATGAAAACTAGGTCTTGAGCTGGGGATGTGGCTCAGCAGTAAAGCACTGGCCTAGCATGTATAAGGCCCTAGGTTTGATCCTCAGCACCACAAGAAAAGAAAGAAGAAAACTAACTCTACACTCAAGGAAAAACCTAAACTGGGATGAGCTTCAAATTGCTAATATTTTTAAGATATTTTGAAACTAACTTTAATCATCCTATTAAAAACCACAAACCCTTCTGTTTAAATTTCTTTCATTCCTAGGACAAGGAAATCACAGAACAAGAACTAGACAATTTTTGCCCGTTTGTTTCTTTGCACACAGTATATACCAACCTTTCTTTGGTAGTCCCCTTCCTTTGCCAGATCTAGACCGCCTATCTAGCAACCGTCCCTTCGGACTGGTTGGCACAGTTACTCCACCTCGAAGGGCTTCACTTCCATTATCACTGACTGAATCGCCTCTGCCAGAGTCTCGGGATGAGTTTTTCCGCAGTCGTCTTTTTGCCTTGGCATTAATTCTAGCTTCATTAATGGAGGATGCTGAAATCCAATTTCCATTTATTTCATTCCTTATTTCCTCAGTCCCAGTGTTTTCTTCATCACCAGAAAAGAGAGAGTCACTTAAATTATCAGGATCTTAAAGACAAAAATGAAGGAAATAAACTATTTTAAGTATTCTCTATTGCTGTATATGTACAAGGTGTAGTCATTAAATGTGATTAAGGTGAATCTCATGAAATTACCATCTCTGTAGGTTAATAATAGTTACATATTGTCAATGTCATATGGTTCAATCCAATAAGTGACAGCTAAATAGGATTACTTTTCCCATTACCCAGGGAAATGAGGCAGTCTTACTGAACAAGGTTTCCTGAAAAAAATAAGATGTCTCACATATTTAGATCATACAATCTATGTTAATATCAATACCAAACATAGACTTATGTGAGTAAAGTTAAGCAACTGGAGACATTAAGACAAAGAATCTCAAAAAAAGAAAATAAACTAGTATTTACAGAAGAATTTCTACTATATTTTATCAGGGGTTGTCCTGAATACTTTGCTATTTATTCATAGGTTCCACAGTTAATTATTATAATATTTATGCAAATAAGTAAAGTAAGGCTCGGAGTGTTCAAATGACCTGCCACACATCCGATAATGAATATAGTGATCATTTTAGGGTTAGGGGTTATTACTAATCCAAAAGAGCCTGAAAGGCCAATAGGCAATCATGTGTGATTGGGAAGCGAATCTACTTATGCTTTCCTGCAAGACTTGCTTTCAAAACTATCATCTAAAAGTCCTAATTCATCTCCCCAAGCTTGATTCATATTAGTGTCTATCCTCTGAAAATCTTCTAGCCTACACAAGATGATACATTATCTCCTGAAAGAAAACATATTTGGAGCTCCTTCTCATTCCCCTGCTTAGAAAGTCATTCTCACTTATCAAGATCCTTTTAAGATATTCCTCAAATCTTATTCAATCTGTGGAAACTTTCATAACAACCTTAACCACAGCAACACTAATCCTCACATACTGTTCATTTAACACAACACAGAAGTCAGTTTATTATCTCTTTTATAAGCTGTCCTGCTTTTCCAACTAGTATGAGCCTCAAAGGAGGAAACATAAGGAACCATAACGAGACTCTGCTTCTCTGTGTTATCAGTGCTTAGTACAGTAACTATCATACTGTTAAGTAGTTGGCTTTGCTCTGAAAATGCATTTAAGTCAGAAAGGCTAAAGAATTAGTTACCACTAGGTGGTCAGAGTTTTGTTTGTTATCACTAACACAAGTCAGAGAAATTTTCACTTAAATCATTGAAATATGCCTAGTTATAATGTGTCAGTCCACGTCTATGAGCTTTAACATGTTTTAAGATATTTTGTAACTAAAAACTTTAATAATCCTATAGAAAGCATACATATGTTAAAACCATTACAATTCTTGACAAAAGTATAAGTTAGGAACAAATATTGTAGTAATCAAAAAATGAAAACATTAAGTAGAGTTTATTAGTCTCATAAGTTGTCCCCTTCCTGTAGCCTTTACACTATTTCCAAAAGGGCCCAGAGATTTAGCTCAGTGTACTGCATCTGCCTTGCAAGCGCAAAGTCCTGAGTTCAATCCCCAGTACAAAAAAAAGTTACCCAACTATCTCCAAACTGAACAGACGATTGTCTAAAAACAGGCCACCACTGAAAATCCTTATGAAGATTTTCCTATTATCTCAAAAGAAAGCATAAACTTTTCACCTTATAAATTAAGGAAGGTCATTCATGATCTTGCCCCTCCTCCCCGCACCATAATCACTAATGACCATTTCCACATTCAAATGGCCAAAGCTTAGATTTGATATCATAGGTAGAAGGTGAGGTGAGGAGATTAGTTTGGCAGAGGAACATAGCATATATCAGGAAAAAAAATCAGAAAATATAAAGGGAGAGACCAGGTAAGAAACTGTTATAATGACTTAGTCACAAACCAGAAAAAAAGCAAGGGTAGTCACTAGAGTTAATAATAATGTGATACTCTTAAAAATAAAGAGATTTTAAGCATAATAGATTAGGGGTTAAATAGGAGTAAAGCAAGCTGGGAGTGGTGGCGTACACCTGTAATCCCAGCACTCAGGAGGCTGAGGCTGAGGCAGGAGGATCACTGTGAGTTTGAGACCAGCCTAGGCTACATAGTGAGTTCCAAGGCAGTCTCAACTACGTAGTGAGACCCTGGCTCAAAAAAAAAAAAAAAAAAAAAAAAAAAAAAA